GCTGGATGTGACCGCACAGGGACTGCACGAGGTTCTCGCGGGCTTTGGGTGTTAGGAAGGGCCTGGGTAGATGCGAAGGCTTAGGCCTGCAGGCGCAGGCCGAGTCTGTGGTCATCTCATTAAGTCTGTTTGTTTCAGATCTTGACAGTTTTAAAGATATTATTCAGTTGCAAATTACTCTTTTGCTGAAATAAAGTCAAATAACTTAACCTAGGGCATACAGCAAATACACTCCAGTGGTATCTGTGAAACTTAATGTGTTACTGAGTGGAGGGAATGTGCTTTGTTTGTGCCTGACTGTTTGCTGGATCTGTAATTCTGTGTTCTTTTGGACTTGCTCTAGGTGATGATCTACTGATTGACAAATTCAGTAAATCCAGCTGTTTAGGTTTATATGGTGTAACTGTAGAAAATCAGGCTATTTATTTTCTCAACTTCTAGCAAGTTTTCAGGTGAAACTATGCTGCCCAAAACTGCAGCTGAGCTTTTAATTTCTGAAAGATACTGATGGTTCTATATCCTTGACTGTATCTGTTTTAGCAAGTAGAATATTTTCAAAAGAAAATAATTTATTAAAGTAGTTATTTCTTATGCCCTGATTAATTTGTATATGCTGTTGTGATATTTGCTGCGTAGATAGGAGATAAGAGATTTTATAAAATAATAAAATGACGGTCTTCTACCTATTGAGAATTTATGGAGAGTCATTGCTTCTGTTTTCTGATAACTGTACTTTTACACTCCTCTGAGACAGAAAATTAATAGCAAGACTATATTAGTTATTATATTCAAAATTAAAAGTATGTTTGGTAGAAAACCTGGAATTAGACTTTTTATCACCCCCCTACTTAAAAAAAAAAAAAAAGCTTCTATTTTTTTATAAGTAACTGCAAGAAAACAACAAGCAGCCCCACAAACAGAGAAGGTCACTTCTTAACTACTGCTAAAATATCTAACCTCCTTTTGTAGCTTAAGTGTAAATGAACTGTGCTGTCATAACATTTGAGGGCTTCAGTAGACTTAAAGAAGATTAAAACTGGACAGTTGTAGCTGTCATTGCCCCCAGCTGTCAGCTCCTCCACGGTATCAGATGGCAGAATTTCAGTTGTTAATGGTATGGAACACGAGGCTGATTGCATTTACCTGAGTATGCCAGTCTGCAGATTTTCTGGGCTGAGGTGTGTTACTCAGCCATCAGAGTTTTCAGATGTTCTCATTTTTGGTGTGGTGACGTCCACTAGAGGAGTGGGGCAGACAGATGGGAGAGGAACAGCTTCAGTCCTCTTACCTTAATCCATTGCTGTAAGCCTGCCGGAGCCTGAGGCCAGCTCTACACCGTGTGTGTAGAAATATGGCTGTAACTGCAATTAAACAATGCGCATCGTTAGAGGCTTTAGGGTTTTATCAGAAAAGCTGTGTGTGAGGGAAACCAGTAGTACTGGTTTTAATGTTTAAAATGTTTATAATATTACAAACCCAGTGGTTTTGTGTATTGTAAAATACATTTTTGGTATTATGTAATTCATGGGATTATTATCCAGTGCGGCTTGACATCCTGTAAAATAGGCACTGGAAGTAAAGCCTTCAAATATTTCACCAGTAGGACTGGCTGTCTTACTTTCTTGTAGATGTAATGGTTATTTCGGTATCCTTTTTTTTTTTTTTTTCCCCCACAGTTCCAGAAAGATAAACTGTTCTGTTTTAAAAATTGTTGGTTTAGCACTTTGATTTTTACAAGGTTATATTCCTTTATATAGTAAAATTAAGTGTTCCATTAGTATAATGCACGTGAGGAAGACTAATACACATTTCTTTATAGTTTTAGAGACAAATGTATTAATGGTTAAAGTACATTATTAACCTAAATACTTTGCTGTTTGTTTGGGTTTTGGTGTTTTGTGGAATTTTAGATGGATTTGGGGGTTTGGTTGGGTTTTTTTTTCTGGTTATTTAATGTTTTTAACAACTTTGCAACATGTTTGAAAGCACAGCTTTTGCAGTCACCCTGAACATGACATACTGTAATTTATTGCTTATCTATTTTATGCTGATTGATTTGAATATTTTTTTTTTTGTTTTAGGTTTATTTTTATTGACCTCTTCTTGTGTTTGCTCATTGTTAGCACTATTAGCAAATTCAAACGAACTTTACTCTTTTTATAGGTCTGCTAATACATACAGCTTTGAAGTGTAGTGTAAACTTGCATATGCTAAGTCATTTGTTTGAACTTATTGGTGGCATTTCTAATCTTGCTAGAATCGCTAAGTGGAGAGCATTTTTAAAGATGTTCACATATTCATCTACTGCAGATATGTTACCAACTATGTATAAATCTTTTTTTTTTTTTTTTTTTTTA